AAAGGGTCTCGACCCGAAACGTCAGTTTTCCTGCTCCTCTGATGCTGCTTGGCCTGCTGTGTTCATCCAGCTCCACACCTTGTTATCTCAGATTCTCCAGCATCGGCAGTTCCTACTATCTGTGTAACTTAAACCTAGATTTTGCCACTGAAGTTTTTGTTTGGCTAATTTTTGCTTAAATTTAGACAATGATTCTTGTATTCTATTTTGAGACAGTACAGATTTGAGAAACTGCAGAGAAATATTTGAAAATATAGTGTATACAAATGGTTTCTGCAGTTTTTTTTGTCAAGTGTATTTTTAAGTGGTTGGCTGATATTGTACAACATGGAATATATTCTTTCAGTCAGTCATTCATTCCTCCTCTTCCTAATAAACGCAATGCATATCCTCCTGCAAAATTGTTTATTTATAAATGAATCCATAGGATGTGTGTGTCATTGGTTGGGCAAGTATTTTCTGTTCATCCCTAGTTGCCCTTGAGATGGTGATGTTCAGCTGCCTTCTTGAACAGCTGCATTCATGTGGTGTAGACCCACTCACAGTGGGGAGGGAGTTTGGGGATTTTGATCTGGTGACAGCGAAGAAACAGCGATTGTAATTCTAAGTCAGGATGGTATGTGGCTTGGAAGGGAATCTAAGTAGTAGAAGTCATAGGTTTGAAAGGTGCTATCTAAGGAGCTTTGGTAAGTTGTGGCATACTATTGTTACTGTGTGATGCAGGGAGTGCATGTTAAATATGTTACAATGGTCACTAATCAAGCAGATTGCTTGGTCCTGGATAGTGTCAGGCATCTTGACTGTGTTCGAGCTGCACTCATCCAAGCAAGTAGAAAGTATTCTATCATACTCCTGACTTGTGCCTTGTAGATGATGGGCAAGCTTTGAGGAGCCAGGGAGTGTTTGCCACAGAATTCCCAGCCTCTGATCTGGTCGCCTAACCTCAGTAATTATATGGTCGATTCAGTTAAGAATAGTGGGAATAAAAATCCAAGTAAGATAGTTGGATTGTCTGTTGTTGGAGGTGGTCATTGCTTGACACTTGTGTGGTTTGTCAAATGTTATTTCCATTTCGCAGTTCAAGCCTTAATATTGTCCAGGTCTTGCTGCCTTTGGACATGGACTGCTCTGGTATCCAAGGATGACAAATAATGCTGTACATTGCACAGTCATCAGCAAACACCACCACTACTGTTTTTATAATGTTGGGGAGGTCATTGACAAAGTAGCTGAAGATAGTTTGACCTAAAACACTGACTCAAGGAACTCTTGCAGAAGTGTTCTGAGGCTAAGATGATTAACCTTCAATGATCACACTATCTTTTTGTCCAGTAATAATTCAATCAATGTAGAGTCTTCCCCCAGTTCCCATTTGCTCCAGTTTGTCTAGGGTTCCTTAATGCCACATTCACTCAAAAGTTCTCTCAATGACAAGGCTAGGCATTCTCTCCCCTTCTCTTCCACTGCCCACCACCACCACTCGCCCCCCCCCCCCCCCCACCAAAAAAAAAACAAACTTGAGTTCAGTTCTTTTGTCCATTGGGTCGAGCTAGGCTTTAGTGAGGTCAGGCGCTGAGGGGGTCTGGCAGAAACTATACTGAGCATCAGTGAGTAGGATATTGTTAGCATTGTTATTGACACCTTTTTATCACTGCGAGAGTGGGCAGTGGGAAGTCATGGAGATGAAGTATATGTCACTGTTATGAATCTTTGATTTGATACCCTGCATCAGTTGCTTAATCTTAACAATTGGCATTTCAAGGCAGCATTCCTAATTTGTGTCCAACCTGGTTATACAGGTTTGGCTGTGAACAATCAGACCTACCTGAAACGTCAGCCTTCCTGCTCCTCTGATGCTGCTTGGCCTGCTGTGTTCATCCAGCTCTACACCCCCTTGTTATCTCAAATTAACCATCCTGCCAGGAATTTGGTGCTTGCACATAATGGGCTTGACTGGGCACTATGTGCATAATTGTGATTATATGGTGCGGGAGAAACTATCAGCTGAAATTTAATTTTATTACAGAAATTGGAGATTCAGAAATTTGAAGGCGAGAACTACCGGATTCATTGTCGCTTGCACGGGAGAAAAAAGGCGCATCTGCTCATCACAAACAGGTATGGAAAGAAACAACTGGTTCTCGGCAGAGTCAGTAGTTTTATATAGTCAATTCAAATAAAGTGTAGCGCAAACAAAACTGTAATCTCTCAATTATTAACACAGTCACTATTAGTTTTCTGATGGAGCACATGCATTCTGACTAGAGAATTTACAGCAGAGGAACTGGCCACTTGTTTCAACTGGATTTTGTAATTGTTTCTTATTTTATGTTCTCTGACTGTTTCAACATAGTTTTGTGCTCCTTTCTGTCGCGATCATATATCTAGCTTCCGTCTTACCATATCTGTTGGTCACCATATCTCAGGGTGAGGAGTTCCAGATTCTCACCACACTTTGGCTAAAGAGAGATACCCTGAAATTTTCACAGAATTTGTTAGTGACTGTTATACATTTGTAATCCCAGTTCATTGTCACCTCCTCAAGTGAAAACATTTTCATTACATACTACCTGTTTGAAGCCCTTTGTAATTCTAAAGACTGCTATCTGGCCATATCTGTCTTCTGTTTTATTTAGAGAAAAGAGCCTATGGGACATGTAATGATTTCAGACTTTCCCAGTCATCACATGAAGATGTTTTGATGAGTGTTACAGTGTCAGTGTTAACAACACTTACGCACATGTTGTTAAGCCCCCAAGAGTGTAAGAGCCAAATCTGTCTTCTGTTGGCTACTTTTCCATGGAAGGAATTGGAACATTAGATAATTCAGTGCTGGTTTTTATTTTCTTAAAATCAATTGAGTGTTTTCACAAGATGCAGTGGAAGGTGCGGTTTCTTTTAGCAATTGGAAAACCATAGCCTTAAGAGCATTTCTGAAGAAGGGTCTAGGCCCGAAATGTCAGCTTTCCTGCTCCTCTGACGCAGCTTGGCCTGCTGTGTTCATCCAGATCTACACCTTGTTATCACAGCCTTAAGAGAGACAGCTTTGTAACAGGAGCTTGCAACAGCAATAAATATTACTCTGAAATGTTTTAGGGCAGGAATCGAATTACGGTGGAAACATGGTATTTCCATGTTAGGCAGCAGCCTAACAGTTGGGAAGAACCTGAAAACTGAATCCCTGTAGGAGGATAATGACTGAAATATAGGACACAAAAATTACCATCTCCCTTCTGCCTTCCCTCCTGCCTCACCCCTGTTTCCCTCATCTACCTCACTTTCCTATTAAATCCAGGCAACCTCATCGTTTTTGTTCCCAGACTCTTGCAATGCTCTGAAGTCTTTCATCCCTTGTGGTTCTTGCTAACGCCTAGACTGTGTGTGTGTTTTCCTTCTTCATGATCCAGAACAGTCTCACATGACCCTAAAAGCTCCATCTCCAGGTTTCTGGAACCTTTCGTCTTCTTTCTATCTTAGCCGTTTTGTTCTTCCTCCGCCATCAGCCCATCCTTCCTTTGCCATTTTTCTAAGGCTGTGTGCCCACTAGACAGTAATCAAAAGAAATCAAGGGCCACGAACAGTTTAGGTCAGATTTGTTGGGTCAAGAACTAAATGGCTAGTTGTGACTGCAAATATTGTGCTTTTTTGTAAGCTTCAACATCAAGCTAATTAGAAAGGAGGTTGGAACTCATTAACCAGTCAGTGGGTGGTGAGTGGAAGGCATGTTATAGGAAGGGCTAACATATTACCAATAACTTTACTGTACTCTGTGACAACAACAAAGAGGCAAGAACTACTGAAATTTAATCATTAAGTACAGAAAAATCACAGTGATGTAAAGACTCGAGGCCGGAGGATGATGGTATAAAAGGCAAGTCCACGATATTGGGTGAAGGAGCGCCTGCAGTTTGTGTTTTTAAAACCCAGGATGGCTGAATTTTTTGCATCACTTCTAGTGTTTATTCTGATGAAAGTTTAGACTGTCTTTGGGGGGAAAACAAGATGCCAACAATTTGGTTTTCTAGTGATTGTTAGTTATACTTTGATAATTTTGCAATGAATGTAAGTGTTTATAAGGGAATTTAGTGAAAATTTGGTTTAAATGGTGATATGATTTCCATTAATCATAAGGAAGCTGAGCCCATGAGGGGTTTTGGAAGATGTTCCATGCTCTGTGGCACAGCTAGGTTTTTAATTGTTTTGATTATTAGTTTACTATTGACTGGTCAATGTGAATTGAAACCTGTTTTAATTCTGTATTCTAAGCACCAATTGTTCTTTCTGCCTTCTATTTGCCTGTCAATCTCTTAGGAGGGTCGTGTGCATTTCTGATGAGATTCTAGGCCATCTTGGTAGTGACTGGAATTACACTTTTGAAGAATTTGTTCAACCACCAACTTTAGAAGGCACTGTGTTGAGCCTGTACATCAAGGTACGCTGATCTCTCAAACTGCATCTGGCAGCGATGGTTTAGCAACATATGATCAAAGTGTGATATTAACATTGCTCATATGATTATGTCATGCTCACTGACAAATACTAATTTAACTTTTAATTACTGTAATAATCAAAGAGCATTATCCTTTATGAAAAACATAAACTACATATCTCCCCACCTCAGTACTTCTCAAAGACTATTGTTCCTGCGCTTCCTTGTAATTTAATATGTAGTTTGGAGGTTTGATCATTAAATATTCAAGCTTTTGTTGCAAGGTTTGAACAATTTTCTCTATTTTCAGAGACCCCCTGAGTGCATAGCAGAATATAAACACAGGTTTAGGAGTTTGAGTGATTCATCAAAGAAGTTGTTAGAAAAAATGATATATCTGTGTCTTGAGTTTGCTCAAAATTTAGCCCAATCTTGATTTTACAAACACTACACTGTCCATAACACTCCTCTCCAGTATACTACTTGGGCCTAGGGCTCAGGGAGGGCCTCAGTGCTTGGGTCATAGAGTCCTACAGCATGGAAACAGACCCTTTGGTCCAACCAGTCCATGCCAAACATAGTCCCAAACTAAACTAGTCCCACCTGCCTGCTCCTGACCCATATCCCTCCAAACCTTTCCTATTCATATATCCATCCAAATGTCTTTTAAATGTTGTAATTGTACCTGCATGCACCATTTCATCAGGAAGTTCATTCCACACCCGAAACCACCCTCTGTGTAAAAAATTTGCCTCTTATGTGTCCAGGCCAGTAGCTGGGTAGGCTTGGGAGCAGTGATTCTTGTCCATATCCCTGGCCCTGCCCATGTGTTCACCCATTGTCACAGTTGGGCATTGTATCATGACACTTAGAACATGATTCAAAAATATTGTTCGTAAAGATTTTCCAGAAGAATGATTTGTGATGAGCTGCATGTTTTATTTTAACAGGATCAATCAATAATAGGATTTTCAAACCCAAAAAGTGGGTCTGAAGGTTTTGTGAGGAAAGTGGTTCTTCAGGATGCAAAGATGGCAAAGGTAAATATTTCATCAAAAGAGGAATGGGATATTTGGACCTAGCCTGATTTCCTGGAGGGATATTTCTTTATTGCTTTAGAAATGATGTAGGAGTACTTTGTGTATGAAAGCTTGACTACCAATTGTCACATTTTTCATATATTTTAGTCTGTCAGTTTTATTATAAATCCCTATGTGCACATTTAGATGTCAAATGATCCATGTAAACTTACCATGCTGTGATTACACTCTCCCACTGTAATGGCTCTTCGTATTGCATCTGCTTTGTTTGCAGAGTAGGCAAACATCTGGGCTCTGGAAAACTTGTTCTTTTCTTCTCAAATTATCTTTTGTTCCTATTTAACTAAGCATCATGATTCCCTCATGTTTCCCCCGTTTCTTTTATAAATTGCTAACCTTCTCATTGTGATGAGATGCTGTGTGCAATAGTAGTTGAGAGAACGAAGGATAGACTTTGTTAAACATAGGATCCTAAAACACATCTGAAATTACATTACAATATTGATTTTTATTGTCACGTTTCCTGAAATACAGTGAAAAGCTTTGTTTATGGGCAGTACGAGTATATCACAGAAAGCAAAGGATGTACAGATCAAAAAAACAGGCATACAGGTTACATTATTTGAGACTAGAGTCCATTTAGCAGTCTGATAACAGCCAGAAAGAAGCTGTTCCTGAACCTGCTTGTGCGTGTGTTCAGGCTTCTGTATCTTCTGCCTGATGGAAGAGGCTGTAGGAGATCGTTACTGGGGTGCGATGTGTCTTTGATGTTGACTGCCTTTCTGCAGCAGTGAGCCATGTAAATGGAGTCCATGGATGGAAGGTTGGCTTCCGTGATGGTCTGGGCTGTGCACGCCACCTTCTGTAGTTTCTTATGGCCCTGGGCAGAGCAGTTGCCGTACCAGGCCATTATGCACCCGGACAGTGTGCTTTCAGTGGTGCATCTGTAGAAGTTAGTGAGGGAGGTTATGGACTTGCCAAATTCCCTGAGCCGCCTGAGGAAGAGGAGGCATTGTTGGGCCTTCTTGACTGTCACATTTAGGTGGGAAGTCCAGGACAGGTTGTCGGTTATTGTCACTCTTGCGGAATTTGATGCTCTTCACTTTATCAACCTCAGTTTCATTGATATAGATGGGGGTGCGTTCTCTTCCTTTCTTTCTGAAGTTGATGATCCATTCTTTAGTTTTGCTGACATTGAGAGACAGATTGTTTTCATTGCATCACATCACCAAGCCCTCTATCTCCCTTCTGTATTTTGACTCATCGTTGGGACCGATATCTAGTGCTATGGTGGTGTTGTCAGTGAGCTTGTAGATGATGCTCGTTCAGAATATGCCAACACAGTCATGTGTGTACAGGGAGTACAGTAGGGGGCTGAGGACGCATCTTTGGGGGCTCCAGTGTTGAGTGTTACTGTGGAGAAGTTGCAGTTACCCATCTTCAGTGATTGCGATCTGTGGGCCACAAAGCTCCGGAACCAGTTGCAGAGGACAGAGCTGAGACCAGGATCTCTGTTTTGAGATCAGTCTGGAGGGACTAATAGTATTGAAGGTGGAGCTGTAGTCAACGAGCAGGAGTCTGATGTAGGTGCCTTTGTTGTCCAGATGTTCCAGGGATGAGTGCAGGGCTAAGAATTCTGCATCCTCTGTGAACCTGTTATGTCGGTAGGCAAATTGTAGGGAATCGAGGCAGGTTGGGAGACTGGAGTAGGTGTGGACCATGACCAGTCTCTCGAAGCACTTTGTGATTATTGAAGTCAGTGCTATTGGGTAGTAGTCATTTAGGGACACTGTGCTTTCTTGGGTACAGGGATGATCGTGGTCTTCTTGAACTATTGGCAAATTTCAACGATTGATCAAGAAGAAATAAAACTGAAACTAACGCTCAGAATGCTAGAGAAACTCTGCAGGTTTGGCAGTGTCTGTGGAGAGAGAACCAGAGTTAATGTTTCAAGTCCAGTATGACTCCGTTCTGAAGAAGAGTTATACCAGATTTGAAACATTAACTCTGTTTCTGTCTCCTCCAGATGCTGCCAGGCCAGCTGAGTTTCTCCAACATTCTCTGCATTTGTTTCAGGTTTCCAGCATCTGGGATATTTTGAATTTATTCGAGAAATAAAACTGACTCAGCTCAGTACACCAAATCCCGATTTTCCTGATCTAGGGACCAGACTAAGGCTTTTCAGACACAGGCTCAAATCTCACTGTGGCAGCTGGTAGAATTAATTACTTTCTTAAATCTGGGATATAAAACTAGTCTCATTAATGATTAATGAGAAATTTGTGTTTTTAAAAAGCCACCTGGTTCACTAATGGAAATCTAATACCCTACGTGTGACTTTAGATTTGTCTACAATATAGTCAACTGTTAACTGCCCTCTGAATTGAAGCTCGCAGCCACACTGCTCCAGGGCAGTTATGGATGGGCAATGAACACTGGCCTTGCCAACAATGCCCATGTCTCATAACAGAATTTTTAACCACAAGTTATATCATGTGAGAGAGCTTTTACTCTGCTAAAGCTATCTGGAGCTGACTAATTTCAATCCCATTTCTCTGTTCTTTACCCCTTAGATTCTTCTCCATTCCCTTTTTGTGTAACTTGCTCTCTGGCATTCCATGTTTTAAGAAAGCTGTTTTTGTAAAATAAAAGACACTTTTCATTGTTTTGCAGCATGATCTTGAACGTATTTCCCCATTTTTACATGCTTAAACATTAGCAGAAGTGATCCTTTGCTGTTTACCCCTGCAAATCTTTGCTAACCTCTAATAAGTTTCTGATTTTCAATGGAGAAAAGGCCTGGTTTTTCAAGTCTTTCTTGTCTGTAGCTCTTCATTTATGCTTTGATTCTTAATTCCAATATCTTGTCCATTCCTCTCTGCCTCTCTCCACTTTTAAGGTGCCCCTTAAAACCCATCAGTCTGAACAAGCTCTTCATAAAATTACTTTACAGTATCAGTTTTGTTTGATAATATGCCTGCAAAGCACCTCCGTGTTTGATTACATTGAAGGTGGTATATAAATCCCAGTTTTCTTCTGAGTTGAGTCCTATAGAAGTCACACATACATTTACACTGTTAACTATTGTGATTGAACAGCAGCCCTGTTCTGTGTGCTAATAGCACTTGGTGATATTCTTAAACGATTCCTTTTTTTATTTATGGTGCCATGTTACACCACTGCCATGTGAAATTAGTAAGAACCATGGATCCATGAGTGATTGGTTATTAATTTTGCACTAGTTTGTTTCTAATTAGATGTTTGAAGATTTAATACTATATGTCTGTAATCCTCTTGTGTAATTTAGAGAACAGTTTCTGGGTTATACTGAGAAGACCACACTCGTTGCCCATTCCACATTGCCCTGAGAATGGACCACACCTTTTTGGACCACACCAGTCTTTGCGGTGATGGTGCTTCCATCATGGTGTTGCGTGATGCTATGGACCAGATCAGTCCCCTCAAAATATTTTAAAAAGTAGCCTAGACCCTAACTTTTTCTTCTTTTTAAAAGTCAAATGTTCCAGATGCAATGCGACTGGTCAAGCAAAACACAATTTATTCAAACGCTGTATTAAAATACATCAAAAGAGAGGAATTTAGAATAACTTAATTCTATTGGAAAATATAACGGTATAATAGATATAGTAACTAATGTTAATTAACTGTTCCAGTTTAGCAACATCCCTTAAACACACCTCTTGGCAAATTTCAGAAAACAGATTTGTCTCACAGGTAACTCCAGCAACCCAGAAGGAAAAACATGAAGAGAAAACTCAGAGTAGCAGTCAGGATACATTTACTGCAGCATCCAAACCTGTTGAGACTCCAGAAGCAACTGATGCTGAATCTCAAAGCTAAAGAACCATAAGCTAGAAATCCTGGTCTTGAGAGCTGGACACACTCATCCAGGCTGCTTCTGTTGTTCTGACTCTTTTTTAAAAAAAAAAAAAAAAAAAAAAATCACCCCAAGACCTCTCGAATGTTTACTGGCTTTCTAACTGGACAGCTCAGTAATTCTGTCTCCAATCCTCTCTTCAAAATAAAACCTGGACAAAATAACCTCCTTAAAGTCACAGCACTGGCTCAGTAAAGTTTCCAGGATATTGACCCCATGCTAGACCTGTGATGTGTCACTGTCAAAGTGGTGTTTGGGGCCTGGAGCGGAATGGGGAAGTGATTTCCACAATATTTCTGGTTGAAGGAGTTTACAAGAGGGGAAATGTTATGGAAATAACTGTGGTGAGTTGCTGTGATGCATCCTGTGCATGGTACATATTGAAACTGCAGGTGGCTGGAATGAGTGGATATTGAACTCAAGTGTTTACAGAAAACCAGAGGAATGAGAAATATCTAATTTGAAACCCACAGAATTATAAATTTCCCCTTTAAAGATATTTTATAAACTAATGGATTATATTTAAATTGTCCCCATGCTTAAAACATTACCAGATCCACTATCCACTAAACCTGTGCAACTTTAACCATGCAGCACTTAATTTGATGAACTTAATACTTGAGCTGTTGAAGTTTGGTTTTACAACAATGGTCAGTTACTTGAATGTGAATGTTCTATTCCAGAGGATGTTCGATGCTCTTGAAGAAGCTCAGGCAGCAAGGCAACAACAACAGCTGGTGAAACGAAAATCACTGAGGTTTTTGAAGCCCTGAGATTTTATGCACTCCTTTTGCACTAAATTAATGCCCAGTGTTTGCTTTTTCATAAAATTGTAATTTGCACTGTAACTACATATTTTCTTATTTTAATGAAATATAGTTCTTAAAAAAAAAAATGCATTCTGTGATATAATGGTACCATTTCTATGCAGAAGAATAGGTGCGTGTGTATACCGAATGTTGATCATTTCAGCTAATATTCTAAAGATTTTCTAATCTTGCACTACCAAAAATCTTTCAAGTGTTAAAAAATAAAGTTATGTATAATATAAGTTGAAAATAAATTAGCTTATGTTGTGTAGATTGTATGTTTTTATCTGGTTGCAATACACTCATTTTGATAAATACTGAGCTTCTAGTTGAGAATAAACATGCCAACCCTATTCATAATGAAAGGACAATGAATCATACTCTCTCAAGGTGGACAGCTCTACTGTCACGATAAAGAATCTTCAACCATTGAAAATTATGTAGCTTTAAGAATTCGTTAAAGCTCCTACTTGACCTTCACAGTTACATTAGATCAATTCTGTGCATAATTCAAAGCTTTATATACATTGTATCTCTCCAACCCAGAGAGTCAACATGCAAAAATCACTTGTTTCAATTTTTTCAGTTGACTTAACCAATAACTACTCAGTTTACCACATGGATTTGCTTAAATGTTGATTAAGTGCGGAAAGCTACCTCTTCCAATTATAAACAAAAGGCCACACAGAGTCGGCTATTAGAAACAATGTATAACTTGAAGTTGAATATATTTTTTGTACTTTGTGTTTTAAGGAGGATACATGGTTTTCATTTTAGATTTGATATCAGAGTGGTTAAGGGAAGTCTGCTGTTTTGTGCTATTTCTATGCCTTTTAATGAGGTTTTACAACCTCAGTGAGGATTTTGCTGAATAGTTCAGTGCATTATTAAAAGAAAGCTGAAGAGAGAGCAAAAAAAAGTACTACTGTCTAGTGACAGAACTTCAGATATGCCAAGGAGCAGAACAGTCCAAAAAAACATCAGTCTATGTTCAGATGTGCTGGAAGTTGGAGGCAAGGTAACTGACCTGCTGAGTTTAGGAAACTTATGTTTGCTCTGGGGTTAAAGGTACAAGTGAATTTAGTTTGGAGTTTGTGCCTCAGGGCAACATACCGTATGAGGGGAAGAAGCAAGAAGTGGCCGTACAGTAACTTGCTGTAATGAAACTAGGGTCAGCTGTCCTGGTCTGAGTTTGAGGAGGGGACCCTCAGTGGAGGTAGTCGTGGATCGTCACTGAGGCTTTGAATGTTTGCAAAGGCCTTTCTGTGGTAAATGTTGTAATGTGAGTTTGCATCTTTTGCTGTCTGCAATTAAATCATTTTTTGTGGTGTAATTAATTTTTTTGTTTAATAAATGTTTTATTCTTTGTGTTAAAAGCGCACTGGTAGTCTGTTGTGACTGTGTTGAGTAACTCATCCTCACTGTTTAAAACAAAATCTTAGCTAGTATGTAACAAACCAGGTTTCACACTCTGGGATCTGACTGGTCTTTTATTAACATCATCTGGTGTCATAATTCAGCTGATTGATTTTCTACAGAACAAAACAAAACTTTCTGAAGCTGCTTTCAAATAATTTTCCTTTTTCACTCAGCTCAGCATTTTAAAGCTAAGGATTTTTGTGACAAAGCATACACTGACTAAAACTCCCCAAAGCTGCACATACACTTACTTATTTAAAATGTAGAAATACCCAGGGGAGTTCTTTCTCACACACAACCCTCCTTAGTAACATTTCCATAGTTCCTGTTTGATTTCCTTTTTTTATTCTGTTCTAATATCTTTGTATTCTCTTATATCATGTGCTCCTCTGGGTCTGTGTATTTGATGTATGCTTCTTTCCAAACTTTCAATTGTTCCCTTATGTCTTTATTCAACCATGGAGTCTCACTGATTTGTTTAGTTTGCTCTTTCCCTTTGGCAAAGTGTATTTTTCCTGCATTTCGTTCAACACCATTTTAAATGATTCCCATCGTTATCCTGTCATTATCTGCCACTCTGCCGTTTTATTTTCCTAAGTTCATTTCTTAGTCCCTTAACATCTGCTTATCTCCAATTTGTTCCAGTAATTACTATCGTTCTAAATGTTATTCTCTATCATCTTAAATTTATTATGTTATGATCGCTATTCGAGAGATATTTCCCTTTTATTTTGCTTACCTCTGGTTTATTCCCCAGTGCTATATCCTCTAGCCCATCTTCTCTTGTAGGGCTTTTTACGTTGAAGGAATTCCTTTTTCACAATTCATTGCCCGTGTTTTCTGTCCAATTAATATCAATAATTTAAATCCTCCATAATTTAGTGAAGGCTTGTTGATTGAAACTTTTCTGTCTGGACACAGTAGAAGCCAATCTTTAACTTTGTGTTTTGTCTAACTGATACAGTGTTGGTGTATCACACTTATTATACTTAACAATAAATGTTCCAGCAGCTGTTGCTGGGGCAAAGCTCCACTGGCCTAACATAACTGCCGAAACTAAAATAGGCTTACCTTTAAAATTAGGCCCGAAACGTCAGCCTTCCTGCTCCTCTAATGCTGCTTGGCCTGCTGTGTTCATCCAGCTCTACACCTTGTATATCTCTAACCTTTAAAATGCTGAGCTTCAGCTCCTATGCCTGTGAGGGCTTTTCTTCAGATGAGATGTTAAACCCAAGTCCATCTTAACTCTTGGGGTGTTTTTTAAAAAATAAACCCAGAGGAAACAAAGAACTTGTTTTTAGGCAAGCTCTGAAACATTCTTTTGAAGCCATCCTTGTAATGTAAGAAACACAGCTGCCAGTTTGTGAATGGCTAAATCCTCATAAGCAGGAAACTTTCAAGATCAGTTAAATTGCTTTCAGTGATGTTGGTTGTTAGAGCAGCAGAGAGAGCTCCCTTGCCTCTCTTCAGAATGGAATCATAGAATCTCTTATGTTCACCTTCGACTTGATTGATTTATTGTCACGTATTTTGTTACACATAGTGAAAAGTGTGTCACCTCTCTGCGGCACCATCTTGAAACACAAAAACAAGCCAAAACATGGAATATGTAAAGGCAGAAAATAATGTTCAACTTTACAGTCTTAAGTGCTTAGATGCGGGCCTGGGTTCAGGCACCCACCCCGATACTGAGGCAGTTGCTGGTATGAAGCAGTTGGCCAGCCTGAAGTCCCTTCGCTGTGCTGCTGCCACTGGACCACACTCACCGTTCTTCGGTACCATCGTGTCTCCATGACGACAATGCCCACCATGAGTCCTTGCTAGGCTGACCTTGCCGATGCCGCTGGGCCTAAACGTGATCCTGCCACTGTCGCCCTGTGTCCACGTTGTGGCCTGGCCTCGCCGCTACCAATGCTATTGGGTCCCGGCCTGGTCTGGGCTCAAACCCGCCTTCACCTCAGGAAACCCTCAAACTCGCCACAAGTCTGCTCGGCACCCACCTCACGGCTGCCGATGTCATCACTGACACCGACTGTCTTCATAAAGTAAGTAAAATTAAAAAGAAAACAAAACCAAAGAAAAGGGGGGAACAAAAAGGGGGGGAAAAAATGGATTGAGTGGATGAGCCTCTGAACAGTCCCTGCTCCAATGAGGAATTCTGTGCTTTCCCACCCAACAAATATCACCAAAATCAGACTACATTTAGATTGATACAAGTCAATGAGAGAGTAACCCAGAACTAGTCTGGGATTGATACAGGGCAATGAGAAAATAAAGCAGTGAGATTAATTTGAGATTGTTCCCAGGTTATTGATAGCAAATTTGGGTAGTGTGGTTGGCAATTTTATTTTGTTAATGTAATATGGGTTTAACTGGTAAAGCAAACGTTTATTACCCACCTATAATTGTCCCTGAGAAAATAGTGAGCTACCTTTTTTGAACCACTGTCATTCATTTGACAGAGACCCAGAATGCTTCTGGTGAGGAATTCTCGGATTTTGATCCAGATATATTTATAGAATGGTAATATAATTTCAAGCGAGGATGTTGTATGGCTTTTCGGGAAACTTGCAGCTGGTGGTCAAATGCCCTTGACCTTCTGTGTGGGAGAAGTAGGAGCTTTGAAAGGCGTCTTTGAGAAAGGCTTAATGAGTTGCACCTTGTAGATGACACACTGTGCAGGGATGACGGGAGTGCATGTCGAAGTTGGTGGCCAGGGTGCCAATTGAGTGAACTGTTTTGTCCTGGATGTTGTTGACCACCTTGTGTTCTACTGGAGCTGCATTCATTCGGAAAAGTGGGATGTACATCATTCTCCTGTGAAAGGCTTTGAGTAACCGAGAAGTGTGTCAATCATGGCTGAATCCCCAACCTCTGCCCTCTCCTAGTTGGCTCTGATGTTGTTCCACCCATCTGATGGTTATGGAGTCGTATTCATTTTAAAATCTCCTCTTTATTTCTATAGCTCCTGACAGGATAAGAGTTGGTGTAGGGCAGGGTGATGTGTGGCCTGGATTGTGGTTGTGGTATTCTTGTGTCTACTGTTTTTTGTCCTTCTTAGGCAGTAGAGGGCATAGGTTTGGAAAGTGCTGTCGAAGGGCTTTGGTGGGTGCATCTTGAGGTATGTACCCTCACAGTAGTAGCAGTGTGCATGATCAAGGATAGAATAGGGACAGGGACAATGAATTGGGTGGTAGCGGTGGAATAAGGGAGGATGGGTGGGAGAGAGATGAAGTTTGATACTGGAAGAGGCCACCATGTTGGTATGAGGAGCAGCCATTGCAGGAGATTTGTTGAGGAAATGGGATGTGAAGGTGATGGGTTGGTGTCAGGCAGGAGATCATGGAGGAGATACTGGGCATAGGGACCCCTGCAGCTTCCCTTCACCCACCTAACCGCCCACCCACTGCAGAAAAGACATTTTGTGTTAATGCCAAACTGTTCAAATCTGAAGGTAGATCTGGCAATGCTAAAGAAAGATATTTCTAAATGTACAATTCATGCTTTTTGCATTGCAAATTGTATTTGGGTAAATTGAGCCTTTATCCATTCCCAGCAGAAATCACTGTTAAAACCTGGAAACTATTACAACTAAAAGTGATCAATTTACATGGAATTGGAGCTAGTTGAGTGGCATTGATCCAGATCATTCCCAAGTCAAAGTGTGAATAGCTATTGTAGTTTACTTTAAGACAGAACTTTGAATCTGTCCTTGGTCAGAGAGCATACATGTGAACATGCTTGTCCGTTCCTACTCAAGTGCTAATCAGATGAATATTCTGAATCCTCCAACTTGTCGAATGAACAGCCAGAGGAAATGGTAGCTGCAGGTATGCAAGTCTCCAAGATGGTGGCAGAGTAGGACTCTGGAGTCAGAACTTGCCTACTCCATCAGTTTCTTTTCTTTCTTCCTCTCTTTCTTTTTGTGTTTTTTTTTAACCTTCCCATCCTCGGGTGGCATCAGCAATGTCTGAGGTGAAAGCCAGCGCTGACTCTTGGCCTCAACTTGGATTCGAGTTGCAGGCCTCAGTGTGGACCTGTCTCCCAGCCTTGAGGTGAAGCCTGTGCGGTGTGGGTTGGAAGGACTGTTATTTTGAACTTTTTTCTTTTTTTTTACTAACTTATTGTTGGACTTTTTATTTCTTTATTTTCAATTTTTTAACGTAAGAATTTGTTCTTTAGAATCTGTACTTAGATACCTTGATACTAAGATGGCGCCATAAGTGGTGACTTGTAAATTTTTCACTGTACTCCTGTGGATACATGTGGATAAAGCTAATTCTAAAAACTCTACAGCTACAGCATTTAAAAGACATTTGGACAGGGTACATGAATAGGAAAAGTTTAGAGGGATGTGGGACTAGTTTAATGTGGGAAGCTTGGTGAGCATGGATGAGTTGGACTGAAGGGTCTGTTTCCGTGCTGTATGACGGTAAAGGCAGTTTCTTCAAACAGGAATATCGTCTGCAGTATCTGAGCGTACCATGTGAGGGCGCTTAGACCTCATCAGTCGGAAAAGGCTTCAAACAGTTTTGTTAGAGTCTGATTTCTAGCAGAGAAAGGCTCACTCAAGAGGATCTACTCTGTTCAGAAGTTTTTGCAAGAGGACTTTAAATACTGAAGCTCTTACATGTGTTATGTTCTAATGTAAGCAGATTGTGCCTTATTAATGATATGTTAAGTAAATGGGAAGGTGAAGTTGAGGTTACAAACAGATCAGATCTTATTAAAGAATAAAACCTGGATCCCTGGCCCTGTTAGCTGTTGTGCCGCCATTAACCATGGCATAAGATTGATGGGCTCAATGGCCTCCTCTTGCTCCTCCTGTTTCTTACGCGCTTGTGATAAATGTGTAAGTGTTGGAGCAGTTCGTCAGAAGTTCAATCACTATTAGAATCGCTGACTGCTGATAATAGGCCCATCGGGAACAATTAACCTGTCATTGCAATGTCCAGATGCGTA